ATATGTCAGACGAAGCTTCAGAATCCTTGACTCCAGGGAACACTCTGGCTTCACCCTCTCCAGGACAAACCTGTTTGTTCTCCTAGTAGCCCATGGTATATTCAACACTTCTCCAGCACCACAGCTCAAAGGCATCAATTCTCTTTCTATCATCCCTATTCACTGTCTAACTCTCCGATGCATAGCACGTAATTGCGAAGACAATAGCCTGGATCAGGCACACCTTAGTCTCCAGCCTGATGTCGTTGCTCTTCAGTACTCTGGGGAGGTCCCTCACAGCTGACTTTCCCAATGCAATTCATCTCTTGATTTCCTGGCTCTGTTAACAAGAGTGCTGACTGTGGAACCAAGTAAACTAAAACTGTTAACTATCTCAATCTCTTCACCATCCACACTTATGCTGCCAATTGACCCAGTGGTGAGAATCTTTGAATCAATCCATATTGAAGACTGCAGTCCCTGATCTTCTACAGCAAGTGCTTAAGGTCCTCCTCTGTTTCAGCAAGCAGAGTGTATCATCTGCATAAGGCAGGTTGTTGATGATGCTTCCACCAATCCTGATGCCACATTCCTCCTCGTACAGACAAGAGTCTCAGATGATCTGTTCTGCATACAGATTGAAAATGTATGGAAAAAAAATACATCCCAAACAGACCCCCTTCTTGATTTTGAACCATGCAGTGTCTCCTTTCTCTGTTCTGATGACTGCCTCTTGGTCCAAGTGTAGGTTTCACATAAGCACAATCAAAAGTTCTGGGATTCCCATTCTTCTCAAAGTCAGCCATAGCTTTGTTATGATCCACACAGTCAAAAGCCTTTGCATAATCAAGGAAGAACAGATAGACATTCTTCTGATATTCTTCGCTTTCTGCCAAGATCCATCAAACATAAGCTATAATAGCCCTAGTACCACAACCTCTTCTAAATCCAGCCTGCACATCTGGCAGTTTTCTGTTGACATATTGGTCCAATCATTTTTGGATAATTTTCAGCAGAATCTTGTTTGTATGTGATATTAATGATATTGTTCGATAATTTCCGTACTCTTTTGGGTCACCTTTCTTTGGAATGGTAACAAATATCGATCTTTTCCAGTCGGCCAACTGGCTGTCCTCCAAATTTCTTGGCATAACTTAGGGAGCACATCCAGGACAGTGTCTGTTTGTTGAAATATGTCAGTTGGTATGCTGTCAACTCCTGAAGCCTTGTTTTTTGCCAATTTCTTCAGAGAAACTTGAACTCCAAGTACGGATTATAGTAAAAATTCTTGTTGATACTATGTACCAAGTTGGAATAGACCCATAGCTGACCCTCCAGTAGGTTTTCAGAGGCTCTAAATCACATGGGAAGAGCCTGCCCATCCTTTTCCCACAGAGCGACCGTTAGATTCAAATTGCATACCTTTGCATTGGAAGCACATTTCCTTACCACTAAGCCACCAGAGCTCCCTAATGAAAAATTAGAAACATCCTAAATGTCTTTCAGTATAGGATGCCATATATAAATTATATTATGTACATGCAATGTGATACTACCCTAGTATAAAAAGAACTGTAAAGCTCTATCCATTGGCATGAAATAATTACTGAAATACATTGTTAAACGACTAGAGCAAGGTGCAGGTTTGTGAATGCAGCAGCTGTGCAGAGGATGAACTAGTGCACTGGGCTCGCCGTGAGGCCACACAGCTCAGGTGCCATCCTCAGCCAAGAATTGAGCCTGGCAGAGATTCTATTCAGGTTCAAACCTCTGAGCCACAAGACTCCTCTGATGAGCAATTTTAGCTCAACTTTATTAAACTGGACTGTTGAGTATGCAGCTTGCTTCCTGGCCTCATTCCACAGGGCTTCTGCAGGCTTTTCTCCTCAATAAGCTCCTTGGTAAGCTTTGAAATCTCCGTGTTAGAAAGCTGAATGAATACAGCATTGTTGTTGTTAGGTGTCTTCAAAGGGGATTGAGTCACAGTGAGTGACCTATGTGTAACAAAACAGAACATTGCCCATTCCATGCTTCGTCTTCAAGGCTGCTGGTGTGTTTGCGTTCCCAGTGTTTTGTTGTGGCCCAGGAGGTTTTCACTGGCTGACTTTGGATGGGGATCACTAGGTCTTCCTTCCTGCTCCGCCTTAGTGTGGAAGCTCTGCTGAGTCTCTTCATGATGGGTGACATTGCCGGTATTTGCAACACTGGTGACATAGACTCCAGCACACCCATAACTACAAGTAGGCACATTCAACATATGGGAGAAGATACCTCTGAGAAAAAAAAATATATATTTCTCTACCTATGTATAATCATCTCTGAGAATATGTAAAAGATATTGACGCCATTGCTTGTCTCCAGAGGAAGAAGGGAACATGGATAGAAAAGAGATTTTCATTAGACAACATTATAAACTTTTTCATTTTGAACCATGTGACTATACTCTCTATCTTAAAAAAAATACAAAAAAGGGGAGAAAAAGTCAGCAGTAACTAGGTTACAAAACAGCATGAATCCATTTAAAGTAGTATAAACCTCACAAATCAGCCAATGTGCATTGATAATTTATTAATTTTAAAAGATGAAAGAAGATAGTGAATAATGTTAATCATTTACTTTGGTTGCATATTCTAAGATAAAATGAACATTCTTTTTTTGTAATAATAAGAAAAAGGATTATTTTTTTCAGAATCTTTTGCTGTCATTCTAGTAATATCTTCCCATGGTTTTCCTCCAAATTAAATGTATTCTTTATCTTGTTATGCCAGAAGACTTATGCTCTAGCAGTCTTTCACATAATAAAGGATGTTAAGGACTATAGTTTGCGATATAGATTAAAAGCTCAACATCAAGAAAATGAAGTTTCACAGCACTGGGCCAACTGGAAGCATCATGTTAGATGGAGAAGAGATTGAAATTGTTAACAATTTCAGCTTTCTTGGTTCCACAATCAACATGCTTTGCACTACCAGTCAAGAAATCAAAAGACAAATTGCCTTAAGTAAATCTGCTGTCAGAGAATACGCCATCCCCTTTTCCTTAAGAATCAGGGTGAAGTCTCTCTCAGGGAGGAGTGATAGGGAATGGCAAAGGACACACTGATAAAGGAGATTAGTCAGAACTGGCTTTGACAAGCACTGTGGCAATTGGACAATTAAAACAGACATTCAAGGGGGGGGGGGAAAGAAGAACGAACTGGGGAGGAGGGTAAAGAA